AAAATTTGTTTAGAAAATTGGGTGAAAGAGTGATATTTTAATCTTAATATTGAGAGTTGTATAAAAAAAAAAAAGAAAAAGAAACTAATAACAAATGAAGACATTGGCATTTTAAAAAAAAAAAAACCTAGTGCATAATTCCACGATAGGCTCATACAACTTTTCTTCATATTCTGTAATCGGTCTGACTTTATCATAAAACCCTATTTAAATGATATATAATAATGACCAATTTTTAATCCCCTAAACAATGAAAGAAAAAAGTTGGTGCTTTCAAAACTTACCAGGTATCAGAATATGATTATCATTAGAAACCAATTTTGCCAATACCCGAATCAAATCGTTCAGTGATTCCGAAACAGCTCCACCTTCCACACCTGAATGTACATCATCTTTTGAACTTGAGATCTAAAATTTTTTTTTAAATATATATATATATAAGCACCAGGATAATAAATGAATGTTATATTCTTAAGTCTGGTGTTTTTATCGAACCTCAATTGTAGCACGAATAACTCCTCGAAGACCGTAAGTTAAGCATGGTGTCTCATCATCAAGCCAATAAGAATTGCTAAATTATAAACACGAAGAAAATAATATTTATGGTTATGATTATGAATATCAAAACCTCATTTTTAGATTGAATGATAAACCTGACGAAAATAACATCTGCATCTCCAATCAATTCCTGTCAAATTTCACAAACAATATTTATAGTTAATGTCCTAGTATAAACCATCTATTTTTTGTCTTCAAATCAATGAATACAAACCTTTGAATCATCAATAATATTATGAAACCCTTCACTACCATTTTCTTCTTCACCTTCGATTACAAAGGACACATTTGTTTTTAACCCTTTTTCTTGTCGCAATTCACTGGCCGCAAACATTGCTGCTAACATCGGTCCTTTATTATCAGTTACTCCTATTGATTTGTATAGACATTATATGTCATATATAATCATTAATCAGTAAGTAACTATAAACAAAAATTAAAAGTTACCTCTTCCATAAAGATAACCATCTTTTCCTAAAATTACAAAATGTTCATAAGATAGACAGCAATATTTAATATTCAGTTAAAAATGAAATAAATTATTATAACTAGTGTTTTAAACCAGTTGTGGCTAAATTGGCTTGTCCGCATTAGCCAGCCAACACAAATGTGTCAGCTGGTTAATACTATATGTCGGATGGACGTTAGATTATGAATTCTGTATGATATTCTTAAATAATTAATATGGGATTATGCTGAAAATTTGGGACCTCTATTTAAACCTATAAACCTACTAAAACCCACATATTAATCATACTACCCCTAACCCTAACCTAACTATAGAAAAAAGACCACAAAAAAGGCCCCAAAAAATTTTACAATTTTATAATAAAATATGATAAAATTTCAGCATAATCCACCACAATTAATAAATATAAAATGTGAACATGGTTTCCCAAGAAGTTTAGTCATATTAGCAATCAGCAAGCCGCTTAGCAATGATTTTTAATGGTTAACTAGCAAAATAAAGTATATGACTCAAAGCAATAATTATAACTAAATACACTACCAAGCATTTCGAAAGGGTTAGATAGCCACGCTTCTTCTTCAGCATCAACGATATCATAATGTCCATAAACCAAAATATTAAGTGTTTTCTGAACATTGGTGGAAGAAGTAGCCAATTCATTGCCTTTAATTCCTAAGAATTTGCCAATTACTAAAGGGTTCCGACCAGGAATTCCTGGAAGCTATTATAGTGTAAATTAATAATATCACATTAGTATTTAATTAATAAACAAGGAAATAAATGTACAATTAAAATAAAATGTTACCAAAAAAGCTTCAGCGCCTAATTGTTCAAAAATACTTTTCAGAAGTTTTGCACCACGAAAGCATTCTTCAAGATATTTGTCATTTCCACTAACTGTGCGTAATGAAACCAATTTCGATAATGCATATAACATGACATCTAGACAATAAAAGTTAAAAGATTAAAAAAAAATTGCAATAGAAAAATAATTATTGATGGAATAATTCATACCTGTTGTTGAAGTATCCATTGATTCTTGGTTGTTAACTGACACGGGTAAACTCCAAAACTATTAT